TATATATATATAACTATATATATATTTATATGTGTGTATATATATATGTATATATATATATATGTGTGTGTGTGGTAGGACGATCGCCGGCTTAGGTGCGGTGTGTACACCACGGTGTGATGTGCGTCAGTGGGGTTGTGTCATGCGAGGCATATACATGGCTCTAGCTGTGTTCGCGTGGTGTGTAGTTTACACTACCGTGAGCAAGCGTGTGTGTAGAAGTGTGTGTGTGTGTGCGTGTGTCTTGTAATGCGGACGCAGAAGTGTGTAAGTTGTAGTGCGTATTTAAAAGTATGGATGTTGTAGTGTGTATGTTGTAGTGCGTATTTAGAAGTATGTATGTTGTAGTGTGTATGTTGTAGTGCGTATGTTGTAGTGTGTATGTTGTAGTATGTATGTTGTAGTGTGTATGTTGTAGTGCGCATTTAGAAGTATGTATGCTAGCTGTAGTGTGTATGTATTAGTGTGTAAATGGAGCATGGTAAGTAACCAGTGCAGCCCGGCACGTAGAGAGAGAAAGCTGTGCGCGCGCGCGGGGTGGGGGGTGGTGGTGGTTAGATGTACGCCGCATATATGCTCACCGCTCATGTCGTCTGCTGTGGTTGCGGCGGGAGGCACAGACGCGGTGTTATAGAGCAGGTGGTGTGAGTGAGCACGGTACGGGGCGGGGCCGTCAACGCGCGTGTTTGCTTGCCGCGTTCAAGTGTTGGTCGTAAAATAGCATAGGTAAATAATATTTCACTCGTGCTACCGTAAATTATATATATATATATATAATTATATATATATATATATATCTTTATATATATACTTACAGTTCGTTTCGATAGCACATTTTGGTTGTTTATTTTATTTTATACTAGCTTAGATATGTATTTATGTCGATAAATATTTGATATATTAATCAGAAATATCAAACAGTCCTAATATATATTACCAATAGTTCCCATGATTGCACGGATCATGCACGCCACACACAAGGCTAAATCAAAATTAGCGTACACACACGCCAGAGCAGACAGACAGATCAGCATGACACCACACCACACACATCACACACACACACAGCGACACCACACACACCACACCATACACACATCAACACAGACGACACACACACACCCACACACACACACACAATCACACCAAACACACCAGCACACACACCCACACACACACACACACACACAACAACTCACAGCACACCCCACATCACAACACACTCACCGGATGTAGTCGCGTTTGCAGTAAGTCTTGCCGTCGCGCACGAAACAAGTGCACGTTTCGTCGAGGAACTGGTGGCAGTCGGCGCACTTGAGGCAGGCGGCGTGCCACTCGAGGTCGGGAGCGACGCGCAGGATAAACTGATCGTGGATCTGCGAGCCGCAGCCGACACACATCGACAGCCGACGTTTCTCTATAGAACAACAGACGCAGCAGACGTCGCGATTATAGTCATAGATATACACGTGTGCGTGTGTGTGTGTGTGTGTGTGTGTGTGTGTGTGTGTGTGTGTGTGTGTGTGTGTGTGTGTGTGTGTGTGTGTGTGCATCTCTCTATGTATATGGAACACGGCATGCAGTCATCAAGACGAGGATATTAACGCTAAACCTGTTCGAATAAATATTTCTCAACAACAAACGGCAAAGAACATCCGGTGTATAATATATATCAAGAAAATGTTCTATTATGGACTCTTGATAAATAAATAAATAAATAAA